TTCCTATCCAAGAATCGACATTTGCTAATCTTCACGAAGATATAATTCATAATCGCTTCAAAGAATTTGAAAAATCCCCAAGAGCCGAAATGATTAGTGTTTCTATTCGTCCTTATTATGGGGAGACCGCTACTATCATAAAAGAAAATACTGCATTACTTCAAGATATTCCTATTACATCACGTCTTGGTTTTGCCGATGTTGTGTTCCCTGGAGATACGCGGAACGAAATTTACCTTAGGTTTTTGTCAGGTGATTTTACCCAAGGACGAGCTGCTACTTCAAGAAATATACAAATCACTGTGGAAGTCAAATTAGACACAGGTGAAACGTTAGAAAATGCAGTATCACTGCGGCTATTTCTCCTAATCCAGTATAAATTGTGTTTTGTGGATTATGTAATGGACTAAATAGAACATCTTTTGAATATTTGTTTGAACCACTTGCAGAAGTCGGATTTACACTAGAAAATGGATATGCTAAGTTAAATATGGCTGGTGAGACTATTATTCCACTTCCAGTTCTCTCTCTTGGTGGGTGAGGTTCATTACTAGTGAAATACAACTCTCTATATGATTCACAAAGTTTCATCATTAAAGGGAGAATCACACGCACGTTTTCAATTTCTTTCTGTATGCTTTCTTTTTCTTTATTTCTCTCAATAGAGCATTGTAAGCTTTCTAGCATAACCGCAACAATGGCAACACATAATCGAATTCCATCTTGCCATTGCATTCGCGCAGCTTCACTATCTTCATTTGTTTTTCCCGTTTTTTCCCATTTACCCATATGATCTGTAACCCATTCTACGACTCTACGCAAAAGTATCGCACGAGATTTTGCATTTTCGAACAAAGGACCACGACAAAATTGAAGAATAACCAATAGTTTATATGCCAAGAGTTTTCCTTTTGGCAATCTCACAGATTCAGTGAAACGAATAGCTATTTGTGCGAGATTTTCGGGATCGAAACATTTTCCAAGATCCGCAAATATAGAAGCAAAATGTTGTAAAGCTAATGTTTGTGTGCCAATTATTGACTGTGGAGTTGTGATGGACATAAGTTTATCTATGCTCTTAAAAAGGTCATATAATCCTTCTTTAAACTGTTTTTCAACATAATCGCCTGATAATCCCATATTTACCTCCTTTGTTCGTTGCAATTCTCTAGACCGTATTATTATTTTAAAAATATATTGCCATACTTTTATAGCTGATCGTAAATTTTGAGCATTCTCTGGAGTTGTAGGATCAGAAACAAGTCGATTCATTGAACGAATTAGACTCGATGAAGCAGCTGCACAAGAAAAATGTTTCTCAATATATACATCAAGCACTGGCCTGAAGTTCATAAACCTTCTATCAGATACAATTCCAAGGATAGTTACTAAAGCATTAAATATCAAGTCATCAAGTTCACCTTGCTGATTTATTGATGAAATTAAAATTCCAAATAGTGCGTCAAAAATATCCTGAAGAAACTTTACTATTTCAACTTCTCCAACAAAAGTGAATTTTTTCAAGACAGACATCATTTCATTCATATCTGACACTAATTGCTTTTCCCAATTCAATAATTTGAGAAGAACTTCATTTTGTGTGTACTTTGTCGAACATAAAAATGTCTTAATCGTAACAACATCTTTGGAAGAAGTTGACAATTTATGCGTTGAATGGGAATTTGAGATCGAATGCACTGAAGCACTATCTGAAGCAGTAGCAGAAGGTGACCATGGTGCATTTAAATATATTAATGGGGTTATCTATACTAAAATAGATCTATTTCTTCATATATCCTGTAAGTCTTTGTTAATCTGGTCTAACTAAAAATGATTTTTAAATTAGGTATATTACTCCTACTACACATCACTTGGCTGCTTCAATATTAGATCAAGTTCCAGTAACATCTTAGTAGCGATTTCTAATCGCATTCTTTACAAATTTGACTGCTGGACCACAAGTATAAGGCTATCGCTTTTCACATATTTATAAGAGAAATTGATAATCGATCAATAATTTGATTGGTCAAATTTATATATAATCACATGAAAATTAATCGCAAAAAATTAAAACATTTCACGTAATTGTCGGGTATAGATTTCCTGCACCATATATACTTTAATAAATTCGTACAAAGTTATCAAAATAAAAAAAAAAAAATATTATATATATTATTTTTTTAATTTTTTTTTTTTTATTATTAAGATGACTTTTTAGTTAATAATTTATTATTAAATTTGCAGATAGATTACAATAAAAGTATAACTAGCTATATATACAACTTTTAGTTATTTAATTTAAATAGTTTACTCTAAGGTTTTATATTAGCTATTATATCTATAGCTTAATTAAAAAGCTATTTATTTAAACTTTTTGGTCACAATTCTTGTATTTTTTTCTTCTTATTTTTTTTAAAGTTTATAGACTCTAGTATTTTATTCTATCTCTTCATACCTTATACTCTTGATATCTTCAGTTTTCTAATTTAAATAGCCTGAAAAGATTAATTTGCTTAGACTCAAGTTTTTTTAGGTTTAAATTTAAAAATCTCCTAATTCTTGATATATACTTTTGTAATTTATGCCTTTTATCTTCAAGATTTAATTCTAGAATCTTCTACTAGTTATTTAGTTAACAAGTTAATAATAAATATACAGTATAACTAGTATAACTTTAGTAATTTTAATAGCCTAATTAGTAAATTCTTTTGTCTAAAGATCTTTGTTATTTAGATCTTTCAATTTCTAGTCTGCTTAGTTTTGTTCTATAGTATTGTTAAAAGTCTGCTAATCTTTATTTAGAATTTGCCAAACCAATTTTAGATTTTTAGATTCTTTGTATAGATACTATATTTTTAGTATTTTTTAATTTTAAAAAACTTATTATAGATTTATACTATTTATACTAGTTTGTATTTTTTTGTACAATAATATGAATGTTTTTAAAATCTTCTAGCACCCAAAAGTATTAGTGTAACTTAAGTAACAAATTATAAATTTACTATAATATAGATATTTTTGTCTAAAATATTGCTAATAAAATTCAAACTCAATACTATAGTTAAGCTAGTTTAAAAGTATAATAGCTTCACTATTTTACTAAATTGTTACACTTTATATATATATATTACAGTTAAAGATTTTGTCTAAAATAAGCATCTTGTTGTTTTATAAATAAACAACTCTTTCTGATAATCTCTTATATCAAAATTATAACAAATTTTTTTTTTTAAAAAACAGTAAATTATAGTAAAAAAAGAAAAAAATAAGACTAATTAAAACTATAAACTGGTATCTGTTATTTAGAAATAGTTTTTATACACTACTTGCTAATAGGCCCAAAGCTTATTACTTATTATAAAGATAGCACTTGTTATTTAAAAGTAGTTTTTATATGCTATTTGCTAACAAGTTTAGGGTTTATCACCTATCAACAAGAAAACTAGTAGTATACTTGGCTCCAGTATTGTACACGAACATTGTCCAGCTAAAATTACAGTGACACAGACAGTCCGGGACAACATTCCATGTTCCGGACAATGTTCCATATCCACGATAATGTTCCATCTTATGAGTTTATCAAACGATCTGATTGGCTAACAAGGCCATTCTTATTACAATTTAATTGTCCAGGACAAAAAAATTTTTTGTGGACATGTCTGCGGACGTCCCGTCTCGGACTGTCTGCTGTTTGTGTCTGTGTTCCATGACAACACTGCTTGGCTCTATATATTCTATTAGTTTTGAAAAAAAATATACTTTTTTTAAAAAAGAGTACAAGAGCTATGTGAAAATAAAATCTGTGCTCAGTTTATAGTCATATGATGAAGATAATGTAATATTCAATGAACATATATATATTTATGCACTAAATATATATACAGTATTTATTACTATTGTTATAGAATAGATTTTTAGTATTAGCTTCTTGAATATATAAATATTAGTATAATTATTATTTTATCGTATTGTTATTATCCTATATTATTATTAGCTTTATTTAGTATTTAGTATTGGTTAGCCAAAAAAAGAAAACTTGTAAAAAGCATACTTGACACTTGATGCTTAATGCTTGATGCTTGATGCTTGACGCTTAACACTTGATGCTCGACACTTAATGCTTGATGCTTCTCGGTAACGCTTAGCACTAAGTGTTGATGCTTTATCCAATAGATATAAAAACTCCACCAATTCTCCCAAGTCAAGCAAGTTCCAACAAGTTCAAAATCCCCTATTCCTCTTATAACTTAGACAAGTTATATCCCCCTTCCTTTTTAGATTAATTACCTTTATAAAGGATTCCTTTAGGTATAAAAACCTATCAGATAGCCTTATCTTGTCTATTCATAGTAATGGATAAGCATCCTTTTTCATAATAGCATTCAGTTTTCTGTAGTCTACACAGAATCGTAATTTACCATTTTTCTTTCGTACAAGAATGACAGGTGAGGTCCAAGGGCTATTGGAGGGTCGTATAAGCTTATTATTCAGCATTCTTTGCAATTTCTCTTTTACGAAAGTCTGTTCACTTGGAGGAATTGAATAAGGGCAAGATTGAATAGGAGGTATATCCTCAGTATAAATCTTATGAGTAACAAGGCTAGTTCATCCTAATTTAGTCATGTCAGTTGCGAATAGGTCTGCAAATTCTTCGAGTAAATGTCTAAATTTTTGGCCTTGTTCCGTGGTAAGAGGTCTAATATTTAAAGAGAGCTTATCAATTAAATACTCTTCATATGGAATAAAAGTATCAATTGTATAAACTTGGCATAGTATAAGGCTCAAGGTCTGGTCCTGAATGTCTGAGTTATCAGGTAGTTTTTCATTCTGCCTAGGATTTACTGAAAATTTCTTGGCTGTGCTAATAAGGTAAGAGCTTCGTTTTGACATTGAAAATGTTGATTATTTTCTTAGAGGAGTTGGATTAGTTGGGCATTTTTATCCTCGAGAATGTCTACACAATGCTGTAATTGTTGAATAAGATGGGCCTGTTCATCTAGTTGTTGTTTCATCTCAGCCATAATAATAGTAAGAGGTATAATTTTTTTTACAGGTTCTGGTTCTGGTTGAGGAGGCTTAAAGAGAACTTGTAAAGGAACACAGTCATCACAGTGTCCTTCATTTCGGTCAAGCTCATCTTGGTGTTTCATATGCAAGCATTTCTTACAGAGATCTACTGGGTAGGTGAAGCTTCTGCACATTTGGGCAAGGGCATATTCTTGGTTAAAATCTGGGTGGCTAGTGTCAAAAGAGTTTTGGATAACTTGATCCAGTCTTGGATAGTCTTCTTCATCATCCAATAATCCTTGTTCTGCTCGAAGAACTAGGGTCATATCTTCGTCAGTCCACTCATTGTTAATTTGATTATTAACTTGAGGTTCTAATGCTTCGAGAATGGTTTGATTATTTTCATGTAGTCAGATAGTGGCTAATCAGAAGATACGAGTCTGGTTTAGTTCATATTGGTGTCAAGCATTCTGGGTGGACTTAGTATAATATCTAATTCTGATCCACAAATTATAGTTAGAATTGTAGAGAACATCTTGGCTGGCTTTATATACGTACAAATATTCAAGGTCGCAAAACCAGAGTTTAGCTTGAAGACTATCGAGCCGATACATTTTGAAGCATGGTTCTGACTTTTGGCAAATTTGGCATTTGACAAAAAGTCCACAGCCTTCACTATAAGTATAAAAAGCAATGCTCCTGGGGTTCTCACAATCTAATTCATAGTAGAAGTCAGTATAACATCCATGACAAAACATCTGGGTATCCATGCTTCAAAGATCTTTAGGTCTGCATGGGGTTAGATATTGACAACAATGATAAGTACAGTGTTGGCTATGATGAGGGAGTCGTCTAGCTTCAACCTTATTGCAATTGCATCCACATTGATAACTGAAGTTCTGCTTCTTAATTACAACTTGAGGGCAATCAGTTATAATGTGTCCTTGTTCATTATATTCCTAACAAATATTTTGAGAGCAGTGTCTGTAAAGGTGGTCTTTCTGGTTGCAAGTATGGCAGGTAGTTTATCTAAGTGCCTGTTGGAAGCAGTGGGGTGCAATATGTTCTAGCTGCTGACATCTATTGCACTTATTAGTTGGGCAGCTAGCGAAGAGATGATCTAGTGATCCACAGTTTCCACATACGTGGGCTTTAGACTATCTGTATCTACGTCTAGGCTGGGCAACTGTCCAATCTTCAAGATCTTCTCATGGGGTATCACTATCACTTGTAGTTACTACTTCAGTAGCAAAAGCTTTGTAGGGAGTAAGATACTCCTGTTCATATAGGACAAGTTCAGTTGGGTCAGTGATAGTAGATTGGGCTGGAAGAGGTTGCTGGGATTCATAAGTGGTAGAAACAGAGTGTTTCTTGTTCTTCTACTTGAAAGAATAATATCCATTCTTCTAGTTATAGTTGGCTTTGATCTTCTAAGACCAATCATTGTCAAGAAGAAGAAAATAAGAATTGATATTAATAACTTCAATATCGATTGGAATGGTAGTGTCATCAATTTCTACAGGTAAGTCTCGGATAATTCCTAAAGGTCTGGTAGAATTTCCAGTGGCAGCAACAATAAAACTGGAGGAGACTTGGTCTATTTTGAGATCTAATTTCTTAACTACTCAATGTGCAATCATGCTAATAGAGGCTCCGCTATCGATAATTGCTTAATAAGGTCTGTTTTTAATTTGAATATTACATTTGACTGGGGTTGTAAAGTTTGAAGGTATTTGGAGGTTGATAGGTTGTTGGGCAAGATGAATAGATAGTGCAGTTCTAATTGATGGGTTATCTAAAAGAGCTTCCCATTTAGAAGTACTAATAAAAGTTCTATTCAAGGTATGGTCTTGGTCTCGGTAATATACATCTTGGTGGTAAGGGGAAGGTAAGCAATTAGAACGAGAACTGGGGTAGGGTGAGCA